TGTTGTTTGAAAGCCACTGGTGTAGACCCCCTTGGTCCTGCTGCAGGGCAGGGCAGGGGACGGAACTAGATTTCCTTGTGAGGCCGTCTAGCCCTACATGTCTATAATACCATGATTTATAATGGGACAGTAAAAAGGCTGTGAAGGCCACTATGTGCTATGGAGACTTTTTTTTCTATCCCATTCTATCTGCCGCTTTTCTCATATGCCCACAGACATACAAGGATCAGACCCCAAGACTGGGATGCCAGTCAACCAAGGGGTTACAATTTTGGTAAGAGAACAACACTCGGCTAATGACTCCTTTCAGACTTTCACTTAATGTTTAGCTAATGGCCCTCTTCAGTTCTCCAAGGGTGGCTTCTTTCCAGCAATGCTGGCTGGGAACACTTATTATCACGGAACCAATTAGGACACATCTGAGCAGTTAGCTTCTATCATCTGTGTTAACGCACGGCAGGAGGAGATAACCAATTCTATCCAGTCGTATTAAACATTAAACGTGAAAGAATCCCCATTTGAACATCTGAGAGAAGAGGAATTCAGGAGGGTTTTTGATCTCCGTGTGTTTATTTTGCGGGAGCGAACCCCCAGCTCGCCAGCTTGTGACTGGCTTGGCGCACGCAGTTATATTTTAAACAACGGTAGGGATCAAATCGTCCTTTTGAAAGGGAAGGAACACGCAGCCACGGTTAATGCAGAAACCACGAGAAATGAATGGCACTTGATGGCGTGTTTTGAAAGGGTTGGGGAAGGAATTCCTGAGTTGATTGCTGGATCTAGGTAGCGTTAAGCAGGACGATGTAGGGCTGCATACAGGAGAGAGGGAGGATTTTCCAAGAAATTGGGCTTTACATGATGGTGCATTTGATACAGGTTGAACCTCTCTGGTCTGGAACTCCCTGGCCCAGTCACTTCCATGGCTCAGATTGCCCCCGGACCAGAGAACCAGGAGGTTAGCGGGATGAAGCCCAGTGGTCACAGCTGGCCAGGAAGTCCAGAGCCCAGCAGACCCCACGGAGGGTGGAGCCAGGTCTGGCTTTGGAGGCCAGTGGTGGGACAGTGGAACTCGGTGGTGTCTGCGGCAGTGCCGGGGCTGGTTGTGGAGCTTGGTGGCACCCCGGGGGCAGGGAACCTGGTGACCTTGAACCCACTTGCAGAGCCGGGGGGCTAAGAGGGGAGCCCAGCAGGGTCTGCTGACTACTCTAGGAGAGCCCTGAGTTCATCAGCAGGGAGGCTAGAATTGACCGCCCCTACTCTGGCAAACTACCTCCATCAGGACAGGTCAGGTCCCAAGGGTGCCAGACCAGGGAGGTCCGACCTGTAGCAAGAAATTTGGCATAGACTAGAAATGGATGAGTTATGGCAGAATATAAGAACAGCCACACTGAGTCAGAGCAAAGATCCATCTGGCCCAGTAGCTTGTCTTCCAACATTGGCCAATGCCACGTGCCCCAGCGATAACAGGGCATCACCGAGTGATCCATCCTTTCTTGCCCATTCCCGGCTTCTAGCAAGCAGAGGCTAGGGACACCATTTCTGTCCCACTAGGCTCATAGTCACTGATGGACCTATCCCTCTATGGACTTATCCAGTTCTCTTTTAAACCCTGTTATAGTCTTGGCCTCCACAACATCCTCTGACAGAGTTCCAAAGGTCTACGTGTTGTGGGAAGAAGTACTTCCTTTTGTGTGTTTTAAACCTGCTGCCTATTCATTTCATTTGGGGCCCTCTAGTTCTTTCTGGTTTGAGGAGTAAATAACACTTCCTTATTTACTTTCTCCACACTAGTCTTGATTCTATACACCTCTATCATATCCTGCCTTCATCGTTTCTTTTGCAGACTGAAAAAGTCCCAGTCTTATTAAACTCTCCTCATATGGAAGCTGTTCCATTCTCCTAATCATTTCTGTTGTACTTTTCTCAACCTTTTCCAAGGCCAAGATATTTTTTTAAGATGAGGTGACCACATCTGTACCCAGTATTCAAGATGTGGGCATACCGTGGATTTATATAAAGGCAATATGATATTATCTGCCTTATTAGATATCCCTTTGCTAATGATTCCCAACGTACCCATTGCTTTTTTCCAGAGCTGCACACGGAGGAGGTGTTTTCAGAGATAAGTAAGTAGTACATTGAGGAACCAGAGAGAGGGTTAGGGAGATGTGGAGTGATCACATTCTATATGGATAAATGTCCAATGCTGAGATGTCTCAGAGACGCAAGATGGTTGGAAAACAAAAGGAAGACATGGCTAAAAAAAGGACCAAAGCATTGCATATCAAAAAAGATTAAAGGAAAATATTGGAAGCCTTCAGTGAACATAAAAGAGGGATTAGTAAGGAAGGCTCAGACCAGGAGGAGACTAACTTCTGCCCGGGGTCCTCAGAATGTGAGGGATCAACAATATCGAAAACTGCTCTGTGAACCCATAGGAGTGTTGGTCACCAGTGTGATGTGGGAACTAGAGTCATAGAACCATAGAGCTGGAAGAGACCTCAGGAGGCCATCAAGTCCAGCCCCCTGCTCTAGGCAGGACCAATCCCAACTAAATCAAACCAGCCAGGGCTTTGTCAAGCCGAGACTTAAACTATTTGTGGCAGAAAATTGTACTTTTAATTAAATGAACATTTGTGAAAAGTATCTGGTCTCCTTGATCTTTTTTAAAATTTTTATTCTCACCAGAAGATGGAAAAACAATTTTTGTGTGTTTGTTTTCAGCAGCTTTCCGGTGAAAATGTTTAGTTTGCAGTTGTCCAGCATGGAAAGGAATGTGGTTTGTCAACAAAAGGCCAACATTTTCCCACTGCAAAGGAAGCCATTTTCCAGCTAGTCCTACCATTGTCAGATGTGAAGAGCAAGCCAGGAAACACCTGGAGATGGTCATCTTTACTGCAGGGAAGCCCAGAGCCAAACAACACCTAAGAAACCTCGGCTGAGGACTATGGATGGGTGGAGAGAGGGTTAGCTTGTGCAGGATCTTAGGATGGAAAGAGAGCCGGGGGACACTAGACAGCAAGGGGTGCGAAGTGGGCCAAGAGCTGTTTTCCTTAGCTCAGCACTGTGGGGATGAGGAAAGCTGCGTAACGACGGCTGTGGGTTGAGCGGTGAGAGAGCCTACCAGGGGTTGAGAGGACGCTGTTGCTCAGGAGATGATCTGGCTTCAGCGCGGGGGAGTGGAATGGAGGTGGAGCAGAAGAGAGGCCGAGCCACCGGCAGAGTGAAAGGGGATCGTTAGGAAACTCCCCGCTCATTGTCCTTCCATCGCCACCGCCACCGACTGGGATGTGGTGCCTCTGTTGTTCCTTTCCTGGTGTCCCTATGAGAAAAGGCCGCAAGCAGGCACTGTCATTCCCTTGCCCACAGAGACGCCTGCAGGGCAAGGCAACGGGCTCCCTGCTGCGTTTGCCGATCCCGTGGGCTAATGGCCAGTCCATTTGCTTTGTCCATTGTTGCCTCCGCCCGGCTGCAGAGCGTGCCAGCCACGGATTTCATTCACCCTGCCATCAGTTGGTCTGCGTGCACCGCCATGAACACAATGCCTGCTTCTGTGCACCCTGCCAGGGGCGCTTATTTATTTATTCGTGTTCTGACACCGTGTGTGACCTCCCGTGATTGCTCGACTAGAGCTGGCAAGCACACCACAGCCGGTGGAGCAGAACAGCACAGCGTGCCACAAAGCGCGGCGTGCGGCCAGGCTGAAAGGAGCAGCCCCTTCCGACAGGGTCCAGGGCAGCGGGGAGAGACAGACCATTAGAGGTAAGTATGTATTGCTGCCCGGAACACCAGCACTCTCCGCACCACCCCTTTGCAAACAGCAAAGCCAGGCTGGTGGTGCCTCCTTCGGACTGCCCCCTGCTCCCAAGGGCTTTGGTCTGATTCTGTTGGCTCAGTCCTAAGCGGAGTGCTGAGCCCTTCTCTGGCAGGATGGGCTCCCTCAGCTCCCTTCGTCTTCACAAGGGAGACCAGACCTGATGCAAGCATTTTGCAAACAACATTTGTAGAGTCAGCGTTGGCCTTTTCCCACTCTTGTCCTCCATCCTCCCTCCCTCCCTGTTCTCCTGGGTTACTGCAGCCACGATGTATCGTAGAATCACAGGACACTAGAACAGGAAGGGACCTCGCAAGGTTATCGAGTCCAGTCCCCTGCCCCCACGGCAGGACCAAGCACCATCCAGACCATCCCTAACAGGTGTCTGTCCAACCTGCTCTTCAATATCTCCAGAGATGGAGATTCCACAACCTCCCTGGGCAATTTGTTCTAGTGTTGGTATCAGCTCCCGATTCTGTCTGCAGGCGGTTGTTTATCGTACAAAGGGCTGCAGGGCAGTCCAAGCCACTTGGAAGCCCCGCTTGGCAGCAGTTGCCTGGTTTTCCATGGGACAAAGGTGTAACCCCCTGAGATGTGTGTCTGTGGCAAAACCAGGGGGGAAGAGGAGCCTGACTCCTTATTGCAAGCTGCAGCTTTCAGCTCTACCGGTCCCAGTGCCATCTCTGGGGCTGGCCAAGATGGTGGCCCTCACACAAGCAAGTGTGACCCTTGGATCCATTGCTGAGGCATCGCTACTTGCAAACAATTGTGGCGCAGCTACTGCGTCAGTGTCTCGCAGTGTTGGGCAGCAGATCCTGGCAGAGACCCCTTGAACCAGGAAGAATAAGGGGGCTGGTGCTACGAACTCCATAACTTGGGCAATCCCCCTTTCCCAAAAACTGGCCCTCCGCCCAAAGTCACTGGAGAAGGGGGTTGTGTCTCTACCAGAGACTGGGCTAGCCTTGTGCAGTAGCGTTCCCCCGTGTGGTGTCTGTGTCAGGCGCCACCGGACGGGGAAATGTTTGCAGGCATGTGATGTGAGCGTCCCAAAAGGGGCAGGACGCTAAGAGTTCTGGGCGGCTGCTGCCTCTCCATTCCCAAAGCAGCCGTGTAAAAGACATCCGGGGTTAATAAAAGCGGGCCCACTTGCCCAAAAGATTTCAACTCGTGTTTTTCTTCTCTTTAGCCCCGCGGTGCTCGCAACGGGTGAGTGAGACATGGAAGGAGAGCAGAACGCCTGGGCGAAGATATACGACGGGCGTGTGAGAGGAGGGATTTTACAGCCATTTACAAAAAGCACATCAGAACCCAGAGGCTATGTATGGTAAGTGCTAACAAACGCCAGTCATCTGCCATGGGAACCAAACCTGGGACCTCTGGAGCTTAGTGCATGAACCTCTACTGCATGGGTGGGGAATCTAAGGCCTGGGGGGCTGGATTTGGCCCCCAGTTTGCCAGGATCCAGCCTTGGGGTTCCCCCCAAACATTGGGGAGGCCACCACTAGCACTCCAGCCCCAACCTTCCCCCGTGAGGCTGGAGCTCTAGTGCCAGCTCCCTGCTGTGGAAGGAGGAGCCGCTCAGATAGGAGTCAGGAAGCCAGAGCCCGACTCAACCCACAGGCTCTGCCTGGAGGGGGAGGAAGTAGCTCCCCGTGCTGCCCCTCCCTGCGGATGGTGCAGTAAAGTGCTGCCTGGAGGCTTTTCCCCACAAAAGCTACTAGGCTGAGTCCCCTGGGTGTGCAAGGAGAAGGTGGGGAGGGTCCTTCTGCTTCTCAGTTGGGAGCCACCTCAATGTGGTGCGGTTTTTTGGTTTTGTGGAGGTTTTGCTTCTCACTTTTGTGCGGCCTCTGGCTGATGTTTCTGTGGGTCCACCCCTGCTCTATTGCATGAGCTAAAAACTTGCTGGCTCTTTTTTCTCTCTGAAAGGGGTCTCTGGGCCATTAGATGGGACAGTACATCACACCCAGCAGGGCTATGTCTACACTGGCGCGATCTTGTGCCAGAGCTATGCAAATGAGGCTAAGCGTGGAATATCGCTGAGCCTCATTTGCATATCGAATGAGCCGCCATTTTGCAGAAGAGGCTCTTGCGCAAGAAGGAGAGTCTACACTAAGGAGCCACTATTTTTTTCAGAAGAGGCTCTTGCGCAAGAAGGAGCGTCTACACTGCCCTTCTTGCGCAAGAAAAGCCCTCTTGCGCAATGCCGTTCTTCCTGAAAAGTAATAGATGTAACGGCATTGCGCAAGAAGTTTTTCTTGCGCAAGAAGGGGCAGTGTAGATGCTCCTTGCGCTAGAGCCTCTTCCGCAAAATGGCGGCTCATTAGATATGCAAATGAGGCTCAGTGATATTCCATACTTAGCCTCATTTGCATAGCTCCGGCGCAAGATCGCGCCAGTGTAGACATAGCCCAGGTGTTTGGCTTTCAAGTGTTTGAATTTATTTGCATTTGTGTGTATGATTTTTTAAATGCCTTGAGTCATCTGTTCACGCTCTTTCAGATTCTGGATGACAAAAATATCCTGGTAAACCATGTCTGATGTCATTTCAGCGCCGTCCAGGGCGGCCTGAGCTGCCAGAATCCCATGATAAATGTAAAAAGCAATTGCAAATGAATTTACAGAACGTGTGTTGGATCCCCACAGGCTGGTGTCACTTTTGAGATTAGGAGTAGGCATTTCTGACATGTGCATGAGGAACTGCCCTAGATTGCTCCTTCTTCCATGCAACCACCCAATGTCGTGGATCATTTCCACAGCCTGCAAAACGGGGAACAAGGTCTCTGCTTTTCAAACGCGCGTTGCGATTTTCAGGTAGAAACGAAGTATTGTTGCTAATTACTGCTGCACGTACAAATGCTCGTCCCGGTGCAAAACACGTGTCTGCCCATAGAGCACCGTGTGCACAGATGGAGGCTGGCGTGCGCAGTCACGCAGTTGCACACATCGTTACACAGGCTGGGCACCCGCTTGCCTGCTGACGCACAGGCGATATATTTTGTGTGTGCCACGTTGGAACTATGTTGCAGCTATGTTGGAAATCCTGGCTCAGTGTGACCCTGACAACAAGTTTAAAAAAAATGGCCCTCAATTAAAATCATCTTCTAGGGCTGATTCTATAGAGAAGCACCTCTTTTCTTTTCTTTTCTTTTCTTTTCTTTTCTTTTCTTTTCTTTTCTTTTCTTTTCTTTTCTTTTCTTTTCACTAGTGATTGCATTTTAAAGTTGGTAAGAAATTTTGGAAGGGTCATTTATTTGGATTCTTAAGCGTTTCTTTTCCTTTAGCCAGGGGAGGCCATGCGGGAGGTGGAGAGGATTGAAACTTAATGCTTCTTGGGCTTGTTTGTAAGCACTGGGGCTTGCAATCACCCACTCAGTGAGTCCCAGCACATGGGCCAAGTGGAAAATGAATGGCAGGATAGAGGGAAGGAGCAATCAATCCTGGCAAAAGCAAGATTAACATCAGCTGTGGGCAGCACCAGGTGAGGCTGTGCAGGCTGACGTTAATTACAAGGAACAGATCAATCAATGCAAAGGAGGGGGGTTTACTCCTTGCTATTAATAGAACCAGTCTGCATTTGTATTTCCTTGCAGTGGAGCTTTGCGTTTAAAGGTCACTAGACATCGCCATCCAATGGCAGGCACCTAAAAGTTAAGCCAGCACATGAGCTCTCTGGGTAACTCTCCCAAGATCATTTGTCCTGAAAATAAGGAGAGCAACATGCTAGACCGGCCCCTATTGGCGATCTCGGAGTCACTGTGGATAGTTCTCTGGAAAAAGCCACTGTTGTTCAGCGGCAGTCAAAGAAACAAACAGAATGTTGGGAATCATTTAAAAAGGGATAGAGAATAAGACAGAGAATATCTTATTGCCTCTGTATAAAACTACGGTACACCCACAGCTTGAATAGTGTGTTCAGATGTGGTCGCCTCATCTCAGAAAAGATCTATTGGCAATGGAAATGGTTCAGAAAAGGGCAACAAAAATGAAGAGGGGTTTGGAACAGCTGCCACATGAGAGATTGAAAAGACTGGGACTTTTCAGCTTAGAAAAAAGGAGACGTGAGGGGTATGATAGAGGTCTATAAAATCATGATAGGTGGGGAGAAAATGAATAAATAAAAGTTATTTACTTGTTCCCATAAGAAATATGGGTCATGAAATGAATAGGTAGCAGGTTTAAAACAAACAAAAGGAAGTTACAAAAGCGGCGAGGAGTCCTGTGGCACCTTATAGACTAATTGAAGTGTAGGAGCATAAGCTTTCATGGGCAAAGACCCACTTTGTCAGATGCATGTAGTGGAAATTTCCAGAGGCAGGTATAAATATGAAGGCCAGAAAAGGAAATTACGTTTTTCTTCATGTAGCACACAGTCAACCTGTGGAACTCCTTGCCAGAGGATGTTGTGAAGACCAGGACTTTAACAGGGTTCAAAAAGAACTGGATAAATTAATGGAGGATAGGTTCATCAATGGCTATTGGCCAGGATGGATAGAAATGGTGTCCCTAGCTTCTGTTTGTCAAAGGCTGGAAATGGGCAACAGGGAGGGATCACTTGGTGATTCCCTGTTGTGTTCACTCCCTCTGGGGCAACAGGCATTGCCACTGTTGGCAGACAGGACACTGGGTTGGATGGACCTTTGGTCTGACCCAGTGTGGCCATTCTTAAAGCCTGGAAATAGTGGCCAGCAAAAGGGGTGGGCAAGCTGTCCTCTGGAGCAAGGGAGGAGCTGCAAGTCTGCAAACTCTGGACCTGCTGAAGTGCACTCAAGTGATGCCAGCAAAGCCCTGTAAACCATTGCACTGATTCTCAGGGGCCCTCCTTCTGAAGTGCTCTGGGATCTGGGGATGCCAGGGTACCCATGCCAGGAGAGGCAGAATGCCTCTGAGGGGCACAGAAAGCTCCTGGAAAAGGGTGATATGTACTGCCGAGGGGATGGAGCCACACCTGTTCATTATCTCACCATCTATTTTCTGGAGGTCTCAAAAGACGAGGCTTTGGAGGCCCTGCTGCAACTGACAAGGCCATCCAATGGAGAGTCCCCTTCACTCCAATCTCAGAGACCTGAGTTTTCGGTGCAGAAGGCCCTGATTTCTACTCATCTGCTGCATGGGGCTCTGGTTTCAGGATACTTATGAACCATCCATTTCTTATTGTTGCTTTCCACAATCCGAGAGCAGCCATGTACCATCGATCAAACAGACTGTCAAGTTGGGGACATAGCAGACGAAGACAGAAGCAAGGTCATGCCTCCACGAGAAAGAGCATAGTGTGCATCTCTCTGTAACATGCAAAACAAAACGGATGCTCTCTTGCAAGATTCCTAGACAATGAAAGCTGCACTGCACAGACTCATGACACTTACCGAACATTGTAAGCTGAGGTGTCTGGTTCCTGGTTTGTAGTAGACCCTATCCTTGCTGCCGCCCTCCTCATAAGCATAGGAGGGGGCCTCACAGTGGTACTGCCTCACGATATACTGGAATATGCTGTCCCAGAGGGTAAAGATTGTTCATGGTTAGGGAACTGGCTCAAGAGGTGGGGACATCATGGATAGTCTGGGACCTTTGGAACTCTCTGTGCCTCAGTTCCCCATCTGTAGAAAAGGAATAATAACACTTCCCAACCTCCCAAGTTTAAACAAAGAGTGTGAAACACATTGATACCTACTGAGGAAATAGCAGGTTTAAAACAAACAAACAGAAGTTTTTCGTCACACAATGCCCAACCTGTGGAACTCCCTGCCAGAGGATATTGTGAAGACCAGTTTTTCGTCATACAATGCCCAACCTGTGGAACTCCCTGCCAGAGGATGTTGTGAAGACCAGGGTTCTAAAAGAAACTTAATAAATTCATGGAAGTTAAGTCCATCAATACTTATTAACCTCAAGGAGTAGGAATGATGTCCCTAGCCTCCGTTTGTAAGGGGCTGGAAATGGATGATAGAAAAGGGATCACTTGATGATTCTCTGTTCTGTTCTCTGTCCCTCTGGGACATCTGGTATTGGCTACTGTTGGCAGGCAGGTCTGAGCCAAAGAGCTCTGAAGCTCGTGGGAGTCTCTCTCCTGACTTTGGTAGGCCTTGGGACTGAGAGAGGACCTGTCCATCTGGACATATGGGATGCATCACAAATGATAAGCCCTTTATCAGCAGAGACCCATTGTTCCTGGGAAGGCGGGGTTGAGACACACTCGTGGGAATGAAGCGAAGCCAGGCTAAGGCATATGGTTGGTACCAAGGCCAGATGGCTTTCCATAGAAGGACATAATGCAGCCTTCCTTAGAGCAGCTCTGGCAGGGCTGCTGTAGACAGGTTGCTCTGAGAA